AGCCAACTTTGCTTTTCTGAGTCTAATCAGGAAAAGACTTCACAGTGACATTTGAGCAGGACCTTGATGGAGGAATAGGATGTTTTCTTTTGCTTGGAACTAAAACCAAAGGCAAAGATGTGGAGGTATGAGAGTCCATGGTGCATGGTAAGCAGAGGCCTCTGGGATGTGTTTGAGAATGTGTGGGAAGGGAGAACAGAAAATGCTGGGAGGCAAGAAAAAGTTGTTGGGATCAGATTGTGAAAGACTTTGAATGACACACACTTTCTAATAAAGACAAAAAATCAAAAAGTGCCTCTTTTATGGTTTTATCTGATTATATAGATAATATATACTCATTGGAAAAAAATAAATAAATAACTAGGTATAAAGCCAAAGGCAAAATGTTCCCCTTTGGTTCTTGGACCAATGCTCCAACCAGTGAGTCGCATCGCCAGGGCTTAAACTTGTAATTAAATAGATGAATAGGATACGTATCGTATGCTCTATAAGGGCAGGATCACATTTTCACTTTCGTATTCTCAAAATCTAGCACAATGTCTGGCATGCGAAATATTTGTTGCATGGAAGAATGGCCTATACTTTGCTTTTGCTTCAAACATATTCCAAATATCCTCACTCTTTAATGGCTGCAAAGTGTTCTGCTCTTTGAGACCAAGCTCTATGGATAGGCATTTGTTACAGATTCCTTACAGCTGCAGGACCATTATAAGAGCCTTGTGTGCCTGGATGTATTTACATAGGATAAATTCCTAAAAAAGGAATTGCTGGTTCAAAACATGCACATTTCAAAATTTTATAAATATAATAGATTTTGTTAAGTGACCACTCAAAGGACTGTATTAATTTGCTTTCTCACAATATGCTGTTTCCACCATATGCTCAGAAATCCTTGGTATTATCAATCTGCTTCATCTCTGACAACCTAGAATCTAAAAATTATGTGCTTGTTTTGCATTACTTTTATTAATGATTCAGTATTTTATCTTATTTTATTAGTACTGATTACTGCATTTTTTTCTGTGAATTACATTTATGCCTTTGATAACTTTTTAAAAAATATATTTTATTGATTTTTCAGAGAGGAAGGGAGAGGGACAGAGAGCTAGAAACATCGATGAGAGAGACCATAAGCCAATTGAGTTGTTCCTTCTATTTAGCATTTTCAACGAGGTGAAGGTAAAATATACATTTCTTTCCATTGGAGGTTTCTCATGTGTTGAGGCTGGTCACAGGGAAATCCCTGTCCCAACTAAACACCAGAAATAATAATTAAACTAGAGCCACCATTTCAGTGTGGAAAGACCGACAAAATTATACACAAATCTGGTCTGTTACCTGAGGAATGACACCCCCCTCCCTGCTGGCTTACAGTTAGGAGCAAAGAGCCCTCGGTCCTGGGGATATTTCATCTAATAACACAGTCAACACAAACGTGGCCTCATCTCAAACCAGAGTGAACAGGCACCGCATGGGTCTCCGTTTCAGCCACAAAAATCTGCCCAGCCTTTCCGATGGCGAAGGCCAAGCTCGACCTCTTAGCTGTCCTGTCTCCTCACCAAGCGGAAGGGGAAAAGGGACTCTATAGGCCGCTCAGGGTCACTGGGAAGAAACTAATCTGCACTCTCCTTGTCTATCAACTCCATCTTTAGCCACAATAACATGGTATTTTATAAATTCACGATTTTACATTATATTTTTCAAGGTGGGGTTCTAAGATTTTGGAGGACTCTCCTCCACATCTCAAGGAACTTCTATGCATCAAACTGCTTCTGAACAACAGAAATGAAAAGAGGCCTTATGATTTTAGACCAGACAGTCATAAACAACAGAATGTACAGCCAAGTTTTATAAAGGACAAAAGCTATAACAACAGATACCAAAGGATACATTATTCCAAAAAAGAGGACACATGGAAAAATGGGTAGTGCCAAACAATCTTTTTATTGTTCACCGAAAAATACAGGTCTGGAAAGAGTCTATTGCATTGTGTACTGACTGCAAGGTCTGATATTGCAAGTATATATAACAATAGTATAACATATTAAATGATACATATTGTACATAGAGATAATACCCACCTCTCTAAACACTAATATTTAACAGAATGAAGTAAAAAAGCCTTTCATAAAATGAAAAATGTAAACATTGCAATAATAAACAAAGTGCTCTAAGCAAAGCACTTTAAAATCGTTTGTTGTGACATGTACTCAGTCTACCTGGAGTCAGGAATGGTGGGGACCAGGAAAAACATGGCTAACAAAAACTACAACTCTTAAGAAGTGCTTGAGAGTGCTATCGACTCTATGGATAAGAACACCTAGTATTTATGAATGAATTTGACACTCTGCAAACACTGAAATGTGCTTGAGAATAAAGATATTAAGGTCAGGAACAAATGCCATTTTCTGCGCAGTCTGCAGATATCATCGTTTCTTCCTTTCAGCCATGTTTTCATTAAGATGCACTAACAGAGGTTGTCCTGGCCAGACATCCAGGCCGGGATCGAGGTAACAGAACTTCTCCAGTTACTACTGCTAATTTAAATGAATTAAAAATAAATACAAATGTATAGAGAGCAACAAAATCAATCTCTATCATTCACGTGGCAACATATTCAAGAGCTGCAACACTAGTCACATTCCAAGGTCCACCTCATTTCCCTCCAAACCGAGGAAGCTCGGTGTGGAGAACATTCAACATCAACACCACTCCCCCTCTCCAAATACTATCAGGGTTCAGAAAGCTCATCACAGATAACACATTTTTTAAAAATTGCATCTCAATGTATATACAGCAACAGAGGAAGACCGTGCACTCCCTCTGGGCTTCCTTGGCATTAGACAAAGCAAGGCTCTGAGGCTATTTGCAACAACAGTGCCGAAGCTAACTATGACAATGCTCACATTCTATGAGAAATCGGGATTACAGAGTTCCTTTACTCATAGGTAATCAAGGACTATTAAGTAACTTCCTGAACTAAGACAACAGTCTCACCATCAAAGAACATTTTCTTCTCACCTGGAAGTTTGTATAAGTGAGATTTTACAATATCTCAGCTTCTTTATTTAATTTGAAACTATCAATGAACAGAGGACATCCTCAGAGGTCAAGTATGAATAATATTAACATTCTCAGATTGTTTTATACTTTACAAGCCAGCAAATACTTTCTCAGACTAACCATTTAAGAGACTTTTAAGTCAATAGTAATCAACTATGTATTTTTTCTTATTCCGTTCATCAAAAAATATCATGTTCCGATAGGAATAAAACTCAATTCAGTGGGAATCTTATTCCCTCAACTCTGCACAATAAATTTCACTGGTCTCTACGACACTGGCTTTTTCTATGACTCTTCTAGTCTAAGGGAAATCTCGTGTTAAGGTGGAAAATTGCAAACTCCAGCAGAACCATTGGTATTAGGACTGAAGCAGACTTTAGGAGAAAAACTGTAATTGTTTAGGGGACTAAGCAATTGTTTCTAGCAAGGTTGTAGCCTTGCGAGGAACACAACTGCTTTTGAATCCCTACACTGAGAAGTTTTAATAATTTAAACATATGAAGGAATTTCATTGTAAAAGGTCTGGTTCAACGGTAAGGTTCTAGTCCCCAGAATGATCGTGAGTGGCAGCCCAAAATACTGGCCACATTTCCATTTTGAACATGTTCGTGACTCTTTCCCCATTGCAGTTTATCCAGTTCTCCCACATGTCCTATCCCTGGTAAGCCCCCCCCCCCCCCCCCCCCCCCCCCCCCCCCGTGCTGGGTGTTCCGCTGCACATATGGGATTTGCTGAGGATCACTTTAATGTGCAGGAAACCTCCATTTCACACCATCAGCTTCCTAAAAGCCACCAACTGGGAATCATTTCAAGTGAGTAAAGGCACAACTCACTGGCATTTTCTCTTTAGAAAGGAAATCAAAAGCATTGTTTAGAAGCTGAACAAACACCTTGGGTAATCTTATAAATAAAGTTATGAATCTGCTACCAAAACTCAGAGACATTTAGTAGATTGACATATAGACTAGGCAGATCACATTAAAGCATGAATTTGGCAGTTGAAAACATATTTCCAATTTTCCACTACACCACTCAGGGGCAAGTGCTGGTTAGTGCCGCCGGTGAATCGTGTCCACACCACCCTCTTGGTTGGTTTTCCTCATACACCTCCTCCAGTCCCCGGGAACCTGGCGCAGGTACGGCACTCAGCAGCCTGCCACGCTGCTCAAAGGCAGAGCAAAGGATTCACCTCAACCAGCCCAGCAGCTAACAGTCCGCTGTGCTGCGGGGCCCGCAAAAAGCCTTAAACTCAGAAGACTCATAGAATTGCATTAAAATTCCTGGTTTTATATCTTCCCAGAAAGTCAGAAAATGATTGGGTTTTAGTTAAACTGAATCTGTGCTCAAAAACAATGTAATGCCTCAGAAAGCAAAATCTAGAATAGAAAGGCTACAGACTGATACAGCTTGTTAATCGACAGCTTACTTTGGCTAATTATCATAGTACTCCAGTGCAATGTATCACTGTATTTAGAGGCACAGTCTACCATGTTCCAATAAAACAGGGTACTAATGAAGTACATGAAAACACTTCATGGCCTTTGTGACTTCAGAACTGGAAAGGACAAAGGCTGGCCAGGACTTGCCGTTCAGCACAAGTGTCAGGAGACAGCTAGACATCTGGGTTCTATTCACTCCTGGTGGTCTCAGCAAGTCCCTATCTGGACACTGATGGTTCTCAACTTGGCTGCACATCAGGCTCACTGGAGAAGCTTTTAAAAATTACCCAACGCCCAAACCACTTACACCTGGAGGCGGAAGCCCGGAAACCAGTGTCCTCTTTGCTTCCCCACCAGGTCGTTCACACGTGCAGGCAGGGCGAGCTGCTGCATGAGAGCCGTAACACAGCCAGATAGTTTTGTTTTCTGTCAGTTCCGCCAGGAAGAGGAATTTTTAGAAAAAGGCACAGTGATGTTTCCTCTAAAGATGCAGCTTACTGTGTGGGAGCGCTGGCTGCGGGAGGCTATCTGGAGCGCTGGCTGTAGAGGAGGAAGTCCTTGTCTTGGCAGAGTAGGTATCTTTTCAGGCTTCGGCGGCTGCCTCCGGCCACAAAGAATGCCCAGGTGCCCATGAGCGGCATGATCATATAGGCCAATACCAGACTTATTTCATACTGAGGATTAAGGAAAGTCTGCAAACGAAAAAGAAACCAGCTTGGTAACAATGGCTGGCATATTAAACATGTGAGTAACCAAAGACAAAGGGAGGTAGGGAATACTTTTAATAGCTGGGATGTGTTTCACCAAACATGCGATGCATGTCCTGTCCTGGGGGCACCATGTTCTCATAAAACAGGTGCCAATGAAGTATAAGGACACACAGACTCACCGAGTCAGCGGGCACTGGCCTATAGATCTGGGCTGTGCTGAATTTCAATGGCAACCCTAGGAGGTAATGAGAAGCCAGAACCTATTGGAATACCCAACGGATGATACATGTCATATAACTGGGCCCAATTTATAATCCTTCAGGACAAGAAGCGGTTAGTTCTTAGAACATGAAAGAAAGCCAGACAAGTCCAAGTTACTTTAGTATGAGTCCTTAGTATTTGAGGGAACAGCAGCATCTCTTCTTCAGCAGCACAACTGCTGTCAGTCCCAAAAGTTCATTTGAAAAACACGGATGGGGTGCTTAGAGGTACTGGGCTACACAGTAGTGAAGACCCTAGCTTCTATCCTAATGGAGCTCATACACAGTGAGGGAGATATGTAATGAATGAAGAAAAAACTAAATTAATTACATAATTGCGAACTATGATGAATACTAGATCAGAACAGTTATAATTGTGGTGGTGACAGGACAGGTAAGAATGAGGTGATCTATTAGGGTGGTCAAGGAAGGCCCTGAGGAAGTGGCATTTAAACTGAGACACAGGAGGAGGAGCGAGCCAGCCCAGTGGAGACCAAGGGAGGGAACAAAGGAGCTCGGCACAGCTGAGTCCCTGAGGAGACTCCATACTAATCATGTGTAGGGATGGAGGGGCAGCACATGAGATAAGGAGTGTGGATTTTATACTCAGTGCAATGGAGGGTCACAGTGTTTCCTTCTGGTAGGGGAGCTGACAGACCTGAGTTAGATTTTTAAACTGCAGAAAAAAATTAAAGGGGGCTATGGTGAGAGCAGCGAGACTACTTGGGAAGGTTTTGTACTGGATGAGGAGAGTACAGGATGGTGACTTAGAGTAGGTGGAGGCAGAGATGGAGAGTGGATAAGAACTGACAGGACTTGAGGGGCAGTGAGAGGCCGTGCTTCTGGCTTTAGGTAAATGGTGGTGCTATTTAATGTGACAATAAAGACGTGAGGAAGACCAAGCTTTGAGTTGTGGGTGAGAATCTAGTCCACATGTGTCAAACACAAGGCCCGCGGGTCAAATCCGTCCCGCCAGGCCTTGCAATGTGGCCTGCACCGCGCTGTCATCACTGCACTCCACTGCGTTTCCATCACAATGACAGTTTATGACTGTTCAGTAAACCATTCGGCCTGCGATTTAGGCTGGATTTTAGATTTTGGCCCCTTCTCTGATTGAGTTCGACACCCCTAAGTCTAGTCCAAAGAGGACATGGTAAGGGTGACATGCCTGTGAGATTTCAAAAGGCAGATGTCAGGTAAGCAGTTAGATACGAGTAGGGGAGAGGAGAGGCCTGGGTTAGAAACAGGAATATAGAGACACAATCCATAGATGGTATTTAAAACCACAGTAATGAATGAAATTACCCATGGAGCTATTGCAGAGAGAAGGGAAAAGAAAAGTCAAGATCAGGCCCTGAGAACATTTGTAAATTGTTTGTGTTGTTCAGTATCACAGGAGCAAATCCGAAGTGTCAACACCATTTCATTGGCCTGATTTATTAAAAAGGAGTCAGCAAGGACTCAGAGCCAGCAGTGGAGTAAGAGGAAACAGGGACAGCGTGATGCAGAAGTCAGAATAGAAAAATGTCTCAAAAAGAAGGCGGCCAGCTCTTTTTAAAGGTTGCTGAGATGAAAACAGAACATTGCCCATTAGATTTGGAGAAATAGAGATCCTTTTTGACCTTGACAAGTGCAGTTTTAAAGAGGTGGTTGAGCAGAAACTAGATTGGGCTAGAAGTATGAGAGGTGAAGAAGTGAAGACAATTTGGGGGGATCGCTCTGAGAAGTTTTGCTGTGATGGGGAACAGGGGAAACGAAGGTGGTGCTGGGAGGGGAGAAGGCAATAATGAAGTTTTATGAAGAGATGTCTGTAAGCTGATACAGAGATGGAAAGCCCGTTGGAGGGGGCTGAGGACAAAGGAGGGAAGTCTTCAATATGAAAGAATTAAGTCTAGAACCCAAGTGGAGGAACTGACCTTTGACAGGAGGAGGGATTCTCCGCTGGGCCAGGGTCAGGCAGGGAGATAGGTTCCGATGTAGCCTAGCATTTGCACTTAACAAAAGAGAGCATTTGATTGGGCCAGTTTGTCACTGCATACCTCTGAGAATCAGAGGCTAGGGTTGTGTCTCCAAAGCTCCTCCCTTTTCTCCCCCTACCCTACCTGCACATGGCTCTGGCTAAGCTCTGGCCAGGGATAGCCACCTATGTTAAAAAAAATGCTTTTCTCAAGAGGCATCTGTGGGCCTGGCAGGAATTGAACATTTTCTGGATTCTTCTTCAGAATAATTCTATACCTCTAGTCCACTGAATTTTAAGTAAAAAACATAAAGAAAAAATTGATTAGACTACATTAAATAACTTTTATTCATTAAAAAGACCACATCAAGAGACTATAAAGACAAACTACACTGTAGAAGAAGTTATTGTATTTGCAATGCATAAACCTGACAAAGTCCTGTTTTAAAGAATATAGGATGTCACCCCCCAAAAAAATGTATACACTCTTTAACAGCTGATAGCCCAATTCTGAAAATGAAATATATTTTACTAAGCGAAGATTTGACTTTACACAGTTGCCACTGTATTAAGGGTGACATTGGTAGCCGGTACCACTGGATGGTTTTAGGTAGGAGAGGCAGTAACACTGGGTCAGAGGACAAGGAGGCCAATATAAGAAAACCTGATACAAATTCAATGTGTCTATACATTTTTTTGGACATTCTATATATAAAGAACCCCCCCCTAAAAAAATCCAAACAAAATAGACAGACAACATAATAGAATGATGGGCAAGAGACCAGAACAGGCACTTCATGAAAGGATTATCCAAATGGCCAGTAACGACATGAAGACATGCCCACCCTCACACTCAGTCCAGGATGCTTTCTCCAGACCAGCTGCAGAACCACCTCTACTTCAAGTCTTTGCTCAAATGTCACCTTCACTGAAACCTGTGGTGACCACCTAATTCAAAAATTCGCACCCCTCCACCTCCCATACTCGGGATCCCTTTTAACTGCTCCTCTTCTTTCTTTCACAGTACCTAACAATTTCTAGATACTATCTAATTTCTCATTATGTCTATTGCTTATTAGATTATAATCCTTACTAGATTATAAAGGCAGCGATCTTTGTTTTGGTCACTAAACTGTTTTGTTCGCCTAAAACAGTACCTGGAACATGGAAGGCACTTAATAATTGTCAAATGAACAGTCAATTGGATTCATAAGAAGGACATTTGCTTTTTCATGTAACTTCCTTTCTGGTTATAAAAAGTATGTTGTAAAAAAATTGCAATATGCCAAAAACTATGAAGAATTAAAAGAATCTACCCAGAGATAAATTTGATATTTAATGCACTCTTTCCAATCTTTTTTTTTTTCATGAAGATTTGACTTTAGACAGTTGCCATCGTATTAAGGGTAACGTTAGTATCCTGTGCCACTGGAAGGTTTGAGGCCAGAAGAAAAGGAGGCCAGAATAAGAAAACCTGATACAAATTCCAAATGGATGGGGAGGCGAGAAACATAAGTCAGGGCCCCATCAGAAGAAAGCTTTTACATCCTTTAGATGAGAAATAAGAAGGGTCTAGACTAGGGGTGTCGAACTCAATCAGAGAAGGGGCCAAAATCTAAAATCCAGCCTAAATCGCGGGCCGAATGGTTTACTGAACAGTCATAAACTGTCATTGTGATGGAAACACAGCGGAGTACAGTGATGACAGCGCGGTGCGGGCCACATTGCAAGGCCTGGCGGGACGGATTTGGCCCGCGGGCCTTGTGTTTGACACATGTGGTCTAGACAAAGCAGTGATGAGAATGATTCTGATGTAAATATCTGACAAACTGTAATAAAAGTCAGGCCCAAGACATACAAAATTACTTTAAAAATGTATCTGACCGAAACCGGTTTGGCTCAATGGATAGAGCATCAGCTTGGGGACTGAAAGGTCCCGGGTTCGATTCTGGCCAAGGGCATGTACCTTGGCTGCGGGCACATCCCCAGTAGGGGTTGTGCAAGAGGCAGCTGATCGATGACTCTCATCGATGTTTCTAACTATCTCTCTCCCTTCCGCTCTGTACAAAATCAATAAAATATATTTTAAAAAATGTATCTGGTCAAGTTTTCTTGTTAAACATTATTACTCTTGAAAACTGGCATTATTATAATGTCAGAGAGAAGGGATTGAAATGGTCACTCTTATTATTGATCAGTTAGAGTAAAACTGATACAACCCTATAGACAGTATTTTAGCAATTTGCATCAAGATCTTTAAAAATATTCATACTATTTTTTTTAACTTTATAATTCCATTCCGTGGAACAATATATTTTAAGTTTCATGTACAAAGATGTCCAAGACAGCGTTAAAATAACCAAAAGTAGAAACAGGAGGGATTAGTCAGTTAAGCAATCTATAATGCAATTTTTATGATATAAAGCCATTAAAATTTATATATTAAAAATATTTATAAGAACATGGAGATTGTTTAAGATGTGTTACTTTCAGGTTTGACTGTCATTAAAAAAACAGACAGTAGGGAAAAATCTTTAATGAGATCAATCAACAAATAGTTGTCTTTCTGTAGTAAGACTTAGATGACTTATCTATCATTCAACCATTCTTTCAAGTAACATTTCTGAATTTCCTTATTTTCCCATGAGCATGTACTTCATTTAGGGTGGAATCTACCCCTGCAGACCGGTGGACTTGAGCTCCAAAAACCAGTTTGAGCACAGTGGCCGTACTCACCAGGGCTGACACCAGCAGGTGGGTCAGAATAACTGCAAGAAGGGGGTACCAGTTTTTCTTCTCACAGCCATCAAAAAATATAATGCCCCAGAACACGTGCAGCAGTATGATCACCAGCGTCATGAAAGCTGAAAGACAGCCACCCATTAGTGTTCAGGCATTCGACCAGCAGACGCTAAAGCCCACTGAACACCTCACCCGGCCATGGTACACAGGCTCTTGGGGTTCCACACCACTGGGGGAGCTTCACTGACACCTGACCAAAGAAGGACCAGGACACACATTTGCTCAAATGTAATTTGGAAAACAACATTTCTAAGCCAGGGGTCAGCTCTGCAGCAGCTTCTCTAAAATGTGAACCTGTTAAAAGTCAACTTGAATCGGGCTTTCAAGAAGTGTCTCTGACCCCTAGCCAGTTTGGCTTAGTGGATAGAGTGTTGACCTGGGGACTAAAGGGTTCTGGGTTCAGTTCCAGTCAAGGGCACGTAGCTCAGCTGCAGGCTCTATCCCTGAGGGGCATGTGTGGGAAGCAACCAATCAATTCTCTCTTTCTCTCCCCCTCCCTTCCATTCTCTCTAAAAAATCAATGGAAAAATATCCTCAGGTGAGGATTAACAACAACAAAAATGATAAGTTTCTCTGAGGAATGAAATAAAACTATTGTAATATCTAATCAGCTTTTTCTAAATTAAACCTTCTACACTAAGAGACACTTTTCTCAATTAAATGGAATTTAATTTTTGTTTATTTTTGTTAATCCTGACCCGAGGATATTTTTTTCCCATTGATTTTTTTTTTTTTAGGGAGAGTGAAAGAGGGAAATACAGAGAGAAACATCAATGTGAGAGAAACACATCAATTGGTTGTCTCCTGCATGAGCCCTGACCAGGGCCCAGACCAGGGAAGAGCCTGCAACCAAGGAATGTGTCCTTGACAGGAAACAAACCCTCATTGGTCTCATTGGTCTTAGGCTAATGCTCTTACCCTGAGCTAAACCAGCTAGGGCAGGAATATCTTTGTTTTAAACAAGTTTTCACTAAAACGAAATTTCTCCTTGGATTTTTTTAAAATGCCAAATGGAAGAATAAAAATATTCAACATTGCAATAATTAAAATTCTTCTGAGGCAACTGAAATTTAATTTGATTAGCACATATAGCTTTTCCTGTGGAATATTGTGGGTGTGTGTACCTGGATAACATTCTTCATTTTAAAACAGGAAGTTTCACATATTCTGAAAGTTTTAGCATGAAAAAAGAAAAGGCAAACAGAGTTCCCTTTTTTGCCCATGTAATAAAACACCATTAACACCTACCAGTGTGGCGAAAATCAGGTCTGATGCTTCTCTTTCACACTGCTGGTAAAACAATCTAGCATTACCTCCTATAGTTAAAAATTTGCACACTCTATTTCACTCCAGCAATTCCACAGCTAGCTCTGAACTCTGAAGCAGTTAGTTCTTGAATCAATAGATCACTAGCACCTGAGAACTTATTAGAAACACAACTTTTCTTGGGCCCTGGCCAGTGTTGCTAAGTGATTAGACCATCGGTCTGTGCATTGAAGGGTCTTGAGTTCCATTCCCAGTCAAGGGTATGTACCTGGATTGAAGGTTGAATCCCAGGCCCCTGTTGGGGCGTGTGCAGGAGGCAACTAATCAATGAATCTCACATCGATGTTTCTCTCCCCTCCTCCGCCATCCCTTCCAATCTCTCTAAAAATCAATGGCACAATATCCTCTAGTGAGGATTAATAAAACAAACAAACAAACAAGCAAGCAGTGCAAATTTTTGGGATTCACCCCACACTTCCAGAATTAGACACAATGAGCCCAGGAATTAGTTTAAATAGACCTTCAGTTAATTCTGATGCAGTCAAGTTTGAGAACTACTGCTCTAGAGAAACTCTCATATATTTGCACAAGGTACACACACACACACACACACACACATATACACACACACACACACACACTAGAGGCCTGGTGTATGAAATTCATGTATGGAGGGAGGGCTCCCTCAGTCTGGCCTGTACCCTCTCCAATCAGGGATCCCTGTGGGATCCAGCCTAAACCACCCTGGTCACCTCCCAATAGACCCCCTGCCAGCCTGGTTGCCCCCTAACTGTCTGGAAGGAAATTGGACATCCGGAAGATGTCTGGTAACCTGGTCTAATTAGCCTATTACCCTTTTATTAATATAGATTAAGTATACAGTTAATAATGCAGATTTTTTCAATAAATGGAGTTACACATATGTTGATATATATGCGATTTGATATGTATGTTATTTTGTTGTATTGATAGCAAGCTTCAAAACTTCATATGTCAAATTTTCTGAAGGTGTTAACATCATAGATATTTTTACATTTAAAAATGTCAAATTTCATGCCAAAAAAAGAAGTTTTAATTCATCACTTTATTTTGAAGAAAAGTGCTGTTGAAAGTTATTGTATACTTCAGGAAGCTTATGGTGAACATGTTCCATCTCAAGATACTTGTGAATGCTGGTTTAAATACTTTAAAAGTAATGATTTCAATGTGAAAGACAAATAACATCCAAGTCAACAGTAAAGTTTGAAAACCAACAATTACAAACATTATTGGATGAAGATGCATGTCAAAATCAAAAGCAGCTTGCAGAAAGATTAAATGTTGCTCAGCAAACAATTTCCAATCATTTACAAGCAATGGGAAAGATTTTAAAGGAAGGAAAATGGGTGCTACATCAACTGAACAAAAGAGAAATGGAAAACCAAAAAGTCATCAGTAAAATGTTGCTTCAACGGCATGAAAGAAAGTCTTTTTTTTTTTTTTGCATAGGATTGTGACTGGCAATGAAAAGTGGATTTATTTTGAGAATCCCAAATGCACAAAAACATGGGCTGACCCAGGTCAACCTTCAACATCAACTGCAAGGCCAAATCACTTCAGAAAGAAGACAATGCTCTGCGTCTGATGGGATCAGGGAGGTGTGGTGTATTATGAGCTTCTAAAACCAGGTGAAACCATTAATACTGATCACTACTGACAACAAATAATCAATTTGAACCATGCTTTGAATGTGCCAGAAGACACAGCAAAGTAATTTTGCTTCATGATGATGCACCATCACACACTTCAAAACCAGTTAAAGACATGTTAAAAAATCTTGCCTGGGAAATAGTAACCCACCCACCGTATTTACCAGACCTTCTCCTTCAGATTACCACTTGTTTGGATGGATGGCACATGCACTTTCTGAGCAGCACTTCTAAACGTACAAAGAAGTGGAAAATTGGGTCTCCGAATGGTTTGCCTCAAAACAAGGCAAGTTCTATTGGGACGGAATCCACAAATTACCTAAAAGATGGAGGAAATGTGTAGCTAGTGATGGACATTACTTTGAATAAAGCACTTTTGATGTTTCTCTTGAAGTTATCGTGTTTTCTTTTATTATAAAATTTGAATTATTAGCTGATACACCTTTAGTATATGACTATTTACATCAGCACTATTTGTAATAACAAAAAATGTCCCTCATTACCAGAATACATACAATATATCAATAGTATATTCACACATGGAATACTATATGATCTATAATATAAATGATCTCAAGAATATAATGCTGAGTGGGGGAAAAACGTTTTGTGGGAAAATGACTATTATTTCACTTATACAAAGTAAAATATACATAAAACAATATTAAAAAGATCTAACAGTTGTGTTTTGAGAAAAGCAAGTTGTTACATCTAGTGATAGTATGCCATCCTTTCTGTAAATGATGGTAAGTACTTTAAAGAAGAAGAGGGATTTTTTAAGCTAAGGACAAGGTTGATTAAACTAAAATTATGTCTTTTAATCCCAGTGTTGATCCTGGAAAGGGAAGCTGCCTTGAAGACAGATGTCTGGTGAAGGATGGTGCAGAGTTGAAACCACTGAAGACACTCAGAAGTCAAGATTATATCGGAAATTACCATCTACACAGGCTCAAATGTTCACACTCTGTTTTTCTAAAACCTAGATGTCAATCAAATGACAAGAGAAAGCAATGACACCATAAATGTGTCATCTGTTTGTCAGCTTATGTTTGCCCTTCTATCTATGCATTACCACAAACATTAAAACAGCCAATCATGCTCCCAAGTCTTGGAATTACAGCTACTTGGGAAAATGCTCTAACTTATGGAATTTTCAGTCCATTCTCATCCAAAAGAGCATTCTTCCGTGAGTTTCACACAAAGATCCTTAGCTCTGACCTTCCTTCCAAATTCCAAGCCCACATTTATGTTTGCAAGGCCCTTTCCTGCTAAAAACATACCTTTGATGGATTGGCCCTATCTCCAAAGTCAAGTCTACATCTATGCCTGTCTGTGGCAGGCACTGATCTAAGCACTGGGGGTATCATGGTGCACAAACACAGCCTCGCCTGGCTGTATTCTTCAGTGGTTAAGCATTGACCTATAAACTAGGAGGTCACAGTTTGATTCCTGGTCAGGGCATATGCCTGGGCTTTGGGCTCAATCCCCAGTAGGAGTCATGCAGGAAGCAGCCAATTGATGATTCTCTCTCATCATTCTCTCTCTCTCTTTCCCTCTCGGAAATCAATAAGAATATATTAAAACAAAACAAAAACACAGTCTCATGGAACTCTCCCTACCTTTACCGTTTACTGTCTTATTAACACAATATCTGACCTCTTGAGCAATTATTAAAACAGACATTTCTACTTGACTGCTTATTTATTCAGCTAGCACTAGTTTCTGGCAGACTCCCTTGGTCATCATAAGTCTTTACTATTGCAATGTGCTATTTAGAATACTGGGATTTTATAATTTATTCTCTCCACAATTGGTTCAAGGTCCAACAGAAATGAGATCTGGATATCTAAACTATTCTGCCACATACATACATATATACTAGAGAGAAATATCTAGTAAGTGGAATTAACTCCAACTAGAAATGAAGATTTACAAAGAGTATCTGTAAGATACTCTTTTAATTACAAAACTGTTCTCATTTCTGTTCCTAAATATGAAATTCTAAAGGTCTTTCAGTGAATCTAACCCTAAAATTTATTTTGTTCTAATATTCTTAAAAGTAAAAAAAAATTTTTTTTCTCTAAATTAACCGTAAAATTATCAAAATT